GTTTGGTCATGGTAGYGCATTCCTATAATCTTGGAGACCTGGAATCCTGAGGCAGAAGATTGCAAGTTTAAAGCCAACCTTAGCAATTTAGCAAAGCCCTGTCTCAATCTAAAAGGGTTGGGGATATAGCTCAGTGGTAAAGCACCTTTGAGTCCAATCCCTAGTACCACACACACACAAAAAATTGGGTCACATGTTTTTTCAAATTTAAGACTTTAATGGGCCATTAATTTAGTGGGGTCTCACAAAGGATATTTTAATGAATTGTGGTAATCCACAATAGAAGCTATCTTGGTTTATCATAATAAGAGTAATCACTTTTCAGGAAAGTTTGTTACTGATTATGTTTATATTCATATACATATTTACATTGGTGTGCACACATACATATACACATGTACATGTATGGATGTATGTATGCATATTGAATTATATTATAAATATATTTTTATGTATAATATCCCAAATCCATAAAAGCTAGTGCCTAGTGTCTTAGACTAATGTTCAGTTTTTAATCATAAAAAAATTGGATCAGTTGACAAAGTTGGAGTATAAATGGGAGATTAAATTTAAAATATTGTTTATGGTTGTTAAATTTTCTAAAGGCAATAACTCTACTCTGGTTGTAAAAGAAAATGTCTTTATTCTTAGGAATATACACTGAAATGTCTAGGAGCAAATGTCATGATGTATGCAACTTAAACTCAAATGCCTTAGACGAAATGTCCTCTAACATGTGGTTACAAATTTTGAAGCAAATGGAACAAAATTTTAATAATAGGTTAAACACAATACATTCTATATGGATGCTTGATCTGTGTACTACTCAGACTTAATACTTTTCTATAAGTTTTAAATTGTTTCCAAAGACATATTTTTTTTAAATCTTTGTATTCCTAATGTACCTTAATACATAGAAAATATACTGTGTATTTCTGTTCTTTTCAGAGATAAAGACCATGCTGAGTTTGATGTTTGTTAGTCCCAGACATATTTTTATACTTTCCATGTTTATATATATTTAAGCCATATACAGTAGAGTTTTGCATGGTTTTTACATTACATAATACTATGTAATCATTATGCACCTTACTTTCCTCACTAACAATTACATTTGAGGAAATTATTCATGATAATGTATGCTGTGATCACTTACTCATTTTCACTGCTACATAGGAACACCAAAAGTCTTGTGGTTTTWTTTAAGTATTTTCTGTAGTGCTGGCTTAGTAGTCCTGAATTCTTCTACTTTGTACTTATCTTGGAAGGTTCTTATTTTTGCTTCAATTCTGAAGAATAGCTTTGTTGATACAGCAATCTTGGATGACATCATTCCAAACCCTCCTGAATTTTAAAGTGTGCTGAGAAATTAGAAATAATTCTCATTGCCTTGCCCTTAAATGTGACCAGACATTGTTCTCTTGAGGCCTTTAAAATTCTGTCCTCGTTCTGAAACCTTTGAAATTTACTCTCAGGTTTTTTAAGATATGCATTTTTATTGAGTATAGTCACTCTGCTGTACAATAGATCTCAGAATCTTTATTTTTCTCATCTAACTAAAACTTTCTATCCTTTGATCACCATCTCCCCATTTTCCTGCTCCCTCCTCCCAAAAAGGAGGAAATGCTATCATTTGTTGTTATAGATGAACCTGGAAGACACTATTTTAAGTAAAATAAGCCTAGAAAAGAAAGACTAATACTGCATGATCCCACTTATATGCAAAATTTGATACCTTTTTGTGAAAGCTTTAAAGTCTTTTGATAGTGACTCACTACACTATTCAGATGCTTTTCAGTTTAGTGAAACAGACTTGAGTGCCAGCTTTGTAGTAGTTATGTGTTAGGCAGAAGGGTTCAGCAGTATGTAAGGCCCAGTGTAGTCTTTGAGTAACTCAAATTTTAACAAAGAGAGCATCAGACAAACAGAACATGAGCAAAGAAAGCAGAAATAGAAGGTGAAAGAAGAGTTCTGAGAGCTAGATAAGTTTCATATTAATCACATAATACTGAGTCTGGAAGGATGAGATGATTTTGGTATAGAGTGCAGACTTAATTTTGTATGTGTTTTCAGACATTTTTAGYATCAGAACCCTAATGGCAAGAACCACAACAATTACAATAATAATGTCATAACTTACATGTTGCATACTTATGTGTTATTGCATACATTTTCAGCTAATATGCATTGATAATTTATCAAGGTACTATGCTGAGAACTTATGCATTACCTCATTTCTTATGCATAGCAACCTTATGAGATAGGTATTTGAGGGTTTTTTTTTCTTTTCATTTTACTTTCTGAGGTTCAGTGAGATTAATATATAAAACAAGTTGAAAGCAAAGCTTCATTTGCTAAGTTGCTTGTGTGGAATAGAATACATTTGAAAACCACTGCCCCAAAGAATAGGAAGATATCAAAGGTTTGAGGAGTAAAAGTTTCATAATCAGATTTGTATTTTACTTCTATTATTCTAGACACTGTATGGAGTTGAAGGAAATAAAGACTGGATTAGGAAAACTAGTTATGAAACTTTTACATTAGTCTGGATTAGAGAATATTAAAATTAAGATTCATCTCACTCTAGTCAGATGGCAGTTATCAAGAATACCAGCAATATTAAGTGTTGGCGAAGAGGGAAGGAAAAAGGTTCACTCAGACATTGCTGGTGGGATTTCACATTGGTGCAGCCACTCTGGAAAGCAGTATGGAGAGTCCTCAGAAAACTTGGAATGGGGCCACTATTTGACCCAGCTATTCCAATTTAAAATCAGCATCTAYAGTGATGTAGCCACATCCATATTTATAGCAGCTCAATTCACAGTAGCTAAACTATGGAACCAGCCTAGATGTCCTTCAACAGGTGAATGGATAAAGAAAATGTGATATATATATATATATATACATAGTGGAATATTACTCAGTCTTAAAGAAGAATGAAATTATGGCATTTCAGGTAAATGGATGGATCTGGAGAATATCATGCTAAACAAAATAAGCCAAACCTCCAAAACCAAAGGCCGAATGTTTTCTCTGATAAGCGGATGCTACTCCATAATGTGGGAGTGGGTAGGGAAGATTGAAGGAACTTTGGATTGGGCAGAGGGGGAGAGGAGGGGAGGGGGTTGTTGGRGTGGGAAGAACAGTCAAATGAGGCAAACATTATTATCCTGTATAAATGTATGATTATACGACCAGTGTGACCTTGCACCATGTWCAGCCAGAGGAATGAAAAGTTGTACTCCATTTGTGTATAATGTGTCAAAATGCATTCTACTGTCATGTATAACTAATTAGAACAATTTTWWAAAAAAATTTGAACTAAAGGTTTTCACATATTCCATGGAATAAGTTAGAATTGATTAAAGGGAATAGCAGTTAATGGTRGACCAAGAAGAAATTTGCACATGTTACATGAAGGAGTAAGCTATGGCAAAGAGAAATACAGGAAATAGTGCAGCTTGAGAAAAGGAAAGAGACTCCTTGATTTAATGGAACCGTGTTATTAAGGTTAAAGTGATATACAAAACACGATTTGGGTCAGTAATAAAAAGAAAAAGTAAGAAATGGTGTACTTAATTTAACTTCATCTTGGTAATTATGCATGGTGTATTTTCTAGAGTCACCACTTTTAGAAATTATAAGAGTAAAATTTAATTAAGAGTGCTTATAAAATTCCACACTAGTAGAGGGAGTACAAAAAAGGCAATAGAAATAAAAAGAGGCATAACAAATAAATAGCATGAAATAAACTACTGTGTGTATAGCTATCTTTATATAGTGTRTATATCAATACTTGTAATTAGTAATTCAATTAGATGATCTAATTAAGAGACAAAGTTTATTAGACTGGATTTAAAAATATATCAGAGGCTAGGGGTGTAGCTTAGTGGTAGAGTSCTTGCCTAGCAAATGTGAAGTCCTGGGTTTATTCCCTAGCACTGGGGGAAAAAAAAAGCCATTTACAAAAATTAGAAGAAAAATTGAAATAAAAGGTGGAAAAAGATATACCAGGCAAATTGCAAAAGCAATAAAGCTGATGCAGTTATATAATTGTGGTGTCACTTAATGACAGGAATGCAGTCTGAGGAGTGCTTTGTTAGGCAGTTTCATCATTGTTTGAATATCATTAAGTATATATACCTGCACAAAACTAGGGAGAGAGGGAGAGGAAGGAGGAAAGAAACAATAGTTTATTATACCTAGGGCCATAATAAATAAACAACAGAGATTAAATCAAGCACAAGAGWAAATGATAAAAGCAAAAGACACAGTAAATACAGGATGTATGAGGCTGCTGCAAGCGTAACATGGCTTACTATTTTTTAATTAGTAGAGTATACACTAATAAAATGTATGGTATAATAAGTACGTGAGCCTCTTATAGTCATTTATTTTTATTATCAAGTTTTATATACTGTACCTAATTGAATGCTATACTTTTAATATGACTGGCAGCATGGAAGATTTGTTTTTGCCAGCATGATCACAAATATGTGAGTGATGTATTGTGTTACAGTGTTAGGACAGTTACAGTGTCACTAGGTAATAGGAATTTATAACATCTGTTATAATCTTAGGGGACTATTATTGAATATTCAGTCCATAAATGACCAAAAAATCATTATGATACACAAGACTGTATTAATATTAGACAAGCAGACTTGAAAGGGGAAAACATTAGAATAATGCCAACATCTAACACATGAACTTTAGTACAACCTTGGAGATGAATTTGGAAAGAAAATAATTGTGTATTTCCAAACAATTAATATGTTCAGTGAGTGTTATTACACTGATTTGAAGAATAAAGACAAAACTAAAAGTCTGAGAAAACAAACACTCATAGTTTATGTAGAATTTAYAGTTTAACCAAATATTTTCCTTCAGATAGCCCACAAATATTGACTTTTTCTCTCTATGTTATTTCAAGTGTAAGATTGTTGGCAACACAAATATAATTAAATGCATTTGGTAAGCCTTTGCTCTTGTATTTTCAGGAATTCAAAATGTCCTCAGCCTCTTTTGTGCAGTCCTTACAGAAAATAAGGTTCTCTTCCATTCTGCAAGTTTCCAGAGACTTAGTGATGCCTGTAGAGCCCTGGAATCATTAATGTTTCCTCTTAAATATAGGTGAGGTTTTTGCTTGATAATTTTATTTATTCCCAAATTATGCATTACTTATTGACAAGTCAAAATGTCATGATACAATGATTTTTAATTACTCAGTCATATTTTATAGTTTTACCATATCAAGAGTCATGATTTTAATAAAATGTAGCCTAGAATTTGGGCTTTTCCATGTTATCCCTTACTGAGTATTGGATAACTTAGTGGGGGAAAAAAAACCAATTTTTAATGTGAATGGTATTGTTACTAACATTTAATTCTCTTGAATGCARTTTGTGATAAAAGTCTTTAGTCAGGGTTGTTTGATATTGAAGGATTATTGTTAATTTTTAGAAGTTATAATGGTACTATTGTTCTGTTAATAAAGACTCCTTGTCTTGCTGGGTACATTTGGCAGAAATTTAGCCACAAGCTACTTGGGAGACTGAAGCAGGAAGATCACCCATTAAGGTTACTCTGGGCAACTTATTAGCAAGACCCTGTCTCAAAAACTAAAAGGCTGGGGATTGAGTTCAGTGATAAAGCACTCCTGGGCTTAGTCCCCAATACCCCCMAAAAAGTCCTTATTTAGATACCTACTCAAGTATTTAGATGTAAATATCTGGGGTTTTCTTCAAAATAATATAGTAAGGAAGAGAACAAAAGTATGTAGAAACATATATGATTGTGCATTGGTAATGGCCAAAACTTGATTGGATACATGGGGCTTCATTATAAATTTTTTCCTGTCTCTGTATTTTTCAGGAGTATGTTTGAATTTCCCATAATAAAAAGAAAAAAATATATAGGCAGTGATGCCAAGTAGTGCTCTATGTAGAACCCTAATATACTGATTTCATTACTTCAATTATCATAACATCTAGGAAACTTAAGTTTATACAAAACTGGATAAAATTTTAAGACTATCTCCAGAATTTCTTTAAAGATTTTTTATCTATGTACTTTTATTTACCTTATAGATAAAATAGAATGTTCTTGGTGTGTGCGTGTGTGTGTGTGTGTGTGTGTGTGTGTGTGTGTAAAAGAGAGAGAGCATGCCATTCTTACTGAATGCAAACATTAAGTATTGAAAGTGAAATTTGAATGAGTAGATTACATAGACAAATCATTACTTAGTCTTGAGAGAAGAGGTTCCATCAGTGTTATTCTGGATTGTCAAGTTTCTATTTAAGGAAAAATCTTTTCAAAAAATACTAAAAGACCTAAAGAGACTACTTAATTAAGAGGAAGAAGGGRTAAGGAAATTTGCCTTGGTTCCATTTACTTTGTGTCCTGTTATGGTTAATAATATCTTAAAGATTTTTTAAAAATTGTTTCTTTTAGGAGGGGAGGGGGGATAGTAGAGAATAGGATAGACAGCAGAATACATCAGACACTAGAATGGCAATATGTAAATAAATGGAAGTGTAACTGATGTGATACAGCAATCTGTATACCGGGTAAAAATGGGAGTTCATAACCCACTTGAATCAAACTGTGAAATATGATATATTAAGAACTGTAATGTTTTGAACTACCAACAATAAAAAAAGTTGTTTCTTTTACAATTTTAAGAAGCATGACAGCATTGATAATTTCTAAATATAGTTCATCTAAAATTTATGCAACATAAAAAGTGAAAGAAAATGTGTTTATGTTGTGGAAAAACAAATGTATGACACATATTTTTATTATTTCCAGTTATCCTTATATTCCCATTCTCCCAGCTCAACTACTGGAAGTTCTGAGTTCCCCAACACCTTTCATTATTGGAGTACATTCTGTCTTTAAAACTGATATCCATGAACTTGTAAGTATTCATCTATTCATTGTTAAAATTTCTAGTTATTGATTTCAGAAGCCTTTTATATTTCTTTTAGTCCTGTAACATTTTAGCTAATTACTATTTGCAGATCTGTTGCATTATCAACAGTGACTAGAAGAACATCATTGAAGAGTCAAAATATATTAATTTTGCCTTATTGCATATATAGGAGAGTTTACAAAGGAATTCGTAAATATATTTAAATACCACTCTGAATATATTATTTGTGTTTTTATACATGAGAAAAGAAGATAATTAATTTATTAATATTTTATTTATACTTATTAGAGCTTAATTTATTCATATTTAAAGTGAGACATATAACACTGAATGGCTGATAACTAATGAAGTAAAAGTATTCACAGAAGAGTTTAGTTTAAGTGGAACCAAGTTTGGTATGATCCCCCCATCCAATTTTTGTATTCTTAATTCCATATGAATAGAAATACCAAAGAGGGAAAAAGCAGTTCTAGAACAATGTATTTAGTTCTGGATATTGAACTTTAAGAGGGACTAACAAGATAAAGCCCTTCAGAAGAGGATATCCAGGATTGTCAAGAGTTTAGAAAACTATATTGTATGCTAACATAAGGAAATGTTTAAGATAATCTGATACTGTTCAATAGCTAAAAATAGACATTTAAGTAACTGTCATAGGTCACTTAAATATAAGCCATTTCTATATAAGCATTTGTTAAGACACTTCAGTTTAAGCATTTCTGATAAAGTTGTGCAGTAATGGAATGGGTTTCCTTATGTGAGATGAAGAGTATACTTTCAAATTCTAAGTGGAATGTAAGGAGGGTTTATATGACAGTCTTTAAAGAAAGAAGAAAAGATTTACTGACAAGTTTAGATTATATTTGTGATTCACAGATCATCAAGACTTTGTTATTCTACTTCTGTTTTATTTTCAAATGCTAGCAAGTAAATGAGCTCTGTTGAAATTTACACAGTAATTAAATTGTAATTATAATCAAATTAGAGATATGATTTAAATAAATAGAAGATTATTCAGCATTGTAAACAAGACCCTCATTCATATAGGAATTATTCTTCCTAACCTTGTATGTTGTGATATCTAGTTCCTATTTAACTTTAGTATCACCATATAAAAAGATAAATAAATCAGTAAAACCTAATCACTACTAAATAGAAAAATATCCATATAGTTTATAAATAATTTTATTACTACTAAATATAAGTAGTCACTGGAAATAGGACAAAGCAAATATTACCAAATATAAGATCTTAAATTTTTAATGAACAAATTAGAATAAATTACAATCACATTATCAGTGAAACAACTTCACTAATTTTGGTTAGTTTCCCATATCTTTATGTTTAAGTGTTTTTCACTTATAAAATGGTTAAAAATTAGGTTTTTGCATAAGCACCTAAATGTTACCCTTTTAATATACTTTTTTTTAAAGAGAGAGAGAGAGAATTTTTTAGTATTCATTTTTCAGTTTTCAGTGGACACGACATCTTTATTTTTATGTGGTGCTGAGGATCAAACCCAGCACCTCKCGCATGCCARGCGAGCGTGTTACCACTTGAGCCACATCCCCAGCCCTTAATATACTTTTTATGTACCTTTTTATGTTGGTTAACTCTTATAATAAATATTAATTTATTTAGGATATATCTAAACTACTACAATAAAGCATCAAAATGCAATGGCTTGGACAAAATAAAATTTTATTTAACATTTATACAGCAGTCCATAGACATGTTCCATTATGCCAGGCCAGTTTGCTCTTTTAAGTCATTTAAAATCCAAGCTTCCTTCCTTGTTTCTCTACCAGAATCCTCTCAGGCATTGTCAGAATCTGAATACTTGAGGCTAGATTGCTGCCAGTTCATAGTTTCAGCCTATGGATAGAGGACAGGACATAAGAGAGCCTTAAATACCTCGTTTTGAGGGCTGTGGGTACACGTGTCATTTCTCATGTTCCGTAGGCAGAAATTCAGCTACAAGCAACACCTAATTTCAAAGGAAGCTGAGAAACAGAGGGTAGCTGAGAAGCCATGGATCCAGAACTCTACTGTAGACAGCCAGGCATCCCTTCCATAGTCAATTCTTCTCATTTTGAATTAATCAAGGCCAAGTTAATTTGCTTAACAACAAATATACTTTATTAATTATTGGTTAATATTTTTTCATCTCTTTCAGTTAGATGTAATCATAGCGGATTTGGATGGTGGCACTATCAAAATTCCTGAATGTATTCATCTCTCTTCCCTCCCAGAGCCACTTCTACATCAGACTCAAGCAGCTCTTTCATTGGTATGATATTTTTTAATAGTAAATTTTTCCTCATCTAAATCTGAAACAATTGGAATTAAAATTCATTGTCAGTGTAATTTAAGGAGAGTTATGTTTTTGAAGCATGAATGTATTCCCTTCCAGTTTTTGGAATAGAATTCTTCATTTACCAGGTAATTATCTAAGGACTATACTTTGAATCCTAATTGAATATTCTATGTTCATTTCTTCACCCAGCATATTTATTCAGTAGCTATTATATACCATATACTGTGTTAGATATTGGAAATACCCATGTGAACACAACGATAAGACTACCTCAAAACCCCTGATTCCCCTAACATCCCCCATTACAARTTAATTCTGTTTCCTAATGTCTGTTCTGGCATCTCATTCCTCTGTGGTAGATGTGCTACCTGCAAAACAGGGTAATGTTGCCTTGACAATGTTTTTAGGTTAGTAGAGAAAGATAAGACTTTTGAAACATTAAATATTCAATATACTGTGCAGTCAAGTTCTAGAATCTTATGGCCAGGGCTTTTCACACTGAAACAAACTTAATTTTCTTATAGTTACATTATTTTACTTAAGTTGATTTTTAAAAATACACTATTTTATTCTATTGACAGTCCTTTCGGTGATTATTTATCCATGATCAGTAAATCAAAAGTTAGAAATTCTGCATTCTGGCCAGTGGCTCATGCCTGTTATCCCAGCAGCTCTGGAGGCTGAGGCATGAGGATCATAAATTCAAAGCCAACCTGAGCAACTTAGTGAAGCCCAAAGAAACTCAGCAAGACCCAGTCACTAAATAAAATATAAACAAAGTCTGAGGTTGTGGCTCAGTGGTTAAGTGCCCATGAATTCAATCTCCAATACAAAAAAAAGAAAAGAAAGAAAGAAATTCTGCATTCCTTTTCAAGATGTTAGTAGAACTAAGGCCTTCATATTCTTAATAATATTCCAATCTGCTGTTTTCTTAAATAGAAGCTTAGAAGTCAGGTGTTTACCAGGAGGGATTTTATTTTCAGAAAATTTGCAATTTGATATTATTGAATAAATTGCATCTCATTTCTAGACCTATTTCATGGTCTTTATCTATAGGATGAATGGCTTACACAGAGATAAGTACATGTCTATTTCCCAAAGTGAAACCAGGAGATGATTTTGGATGGGATATAGTCAACCTTTTTAAATTATAATAATTATAGTTTATTATAGTGTATATTTAAAATATCATACAAAACCTGTGATTTCACAGATAATGTCATCTAAGAAAATCTAGGTTTTAAAAGGTGAGTTGATTTAAATGAAAATATTAACCATATAAATGCACAGATGGCATATTAATATAATAACACCTGAAAAAGTAGTATTTGAGTGATTGAGGAAAGTTTATTATTTCTWGAAATTTTTTAATGATTAAATCATTTTTGTGAACATTTGACAGTGATGCTAATGATTTTTTCAGGGATTAAATATCAAAATTAACAATAATAAGAATTTTAGTTTTGAGACAGTGACTTCATAGAAATTTTGCTGCTTACTGGTATACTTTACCCTACAACAAAATTGCCACCAAATTTGATTAATGTTTAAAATCATTTTTGGTAAAACTGAGTATACCTGCTGTTATATTCATCAAGCACAATGATGAATTATGTACCACAATGTATAGCAYTATATACTATGAATAAGAGATAAGAACATAGTATACTGTCAAATTAGGACCAAAAAGATATCATATTTGATGGACCATATGGGAACTTCAACATGTAAGTATATGAGCTTCATTTGGTTAGTAAATAATTGTAATCAAATRTCAATGCAGTACTTCAACAATATAATAACCATGGATGATTTTAATAGATAACAAAACATTATCATAATGTAGTAGTGACTGAGTGATTTGTTTATAATTATTGTCAGTAGTTGATTTTAAGGGTAGTTTCAAGTCTTGATCTAACTATTCCATGAAAGAAAATCTTAGTATTTGAAAATGATTCTGCAAAGATAAAACATTGTTGTACAYTGATAAAGTATAATTTCTTTTTCTCTGTGCAAGTCCTTCATGGACCCTTCTTTGCCTCCTCCTCTCCAATGTGCTTTACTTCAAAGCCTAACTCATACGTTAATCCTCTTATTCTTTTTAACTTTCCCCGGGTTGAATTAGTTATATTTTATATTTCATATGTTATAATATCTATATACTTAATAAGATTCATCACATTGTATTATACTTTCCCATTCTGGACTACAAAGGTTAAACTTTCTCCTCAGTACTTTAGTTAATTTAGTTTTTAATTTTACTATGAAACAAATACCTGTTTTCTAAAACCCGTCTACATTGATACAAAGCTCTGCCCCAGATTATTCTCTTCCCAGTAGTTACTAATATTTTATAGTTTGGTGTATATTCTTTGAGAACTTTCCATTCTCATTTTTTTTTGTATATCAGCATGTACATGTCTGTGTACATCTAGGGTTCATTTTATTTTATAAGATCGTATTATGAGGATTTTTTTTTTAGAATGGGTTTGCCCCTGTTTTCTCTTGGAGATCTTTCCACAAARGTACATGAGAGGGCTGCGATTATGGCTCAGTGGTAGAGTGCTTGCTTGCATGTGTGAGGCACTAGATTCTATCCTCAGCACCACATAAAGATAAATAAATAAAGGTATTGTGTCCATCTACAACTAAAAAAATGAGCTACCTCAGCTAACTGAATTATAGTTTTGTATTTCATGCAGGGAATATAACATATTCTCTGTATTAACATTTCATTTTAATGCCATAAGGAGATTAAGGATAATCTTATTGATTTTAAGATATTTTTTATAACAAAGCTTTTTTGTTTTAGATTTTACACCCAGATTTGGAAGTAGCAGATCATGCTTTTCCTCCTCCACGAACAGCTTTATCTCACTCAAAAATGCTGGTAAGAAGTTGAATATTTAAATTTGGTATTTTTTCAAGAGACCTATATTTCTGTTAGTAGAATTGTTAAAGAAACTGAGTGAAGTTAGAGTTAGATATAAAAAGTACCCCCAAAATACCTAAATTAGAAAATAGACAAAACACTACCAACTGTCCTTGTGTTCTGCTCTAGAAGGTGCTAATGGCCCTGTAGGAAAGCGGCTATGAATGTTGCTGGAGGAGACCAGTTAAGTATAGGACAAAAAATTGGAACCTGGTTTCTAGCTTGGAAAACTGCCAGATTGAAAGGGTCAAGGCAAGTATTTTTAAAAGGAGGAAGCTTACAAAAGTGAAAACAGTGAATGTTATCATCAGAGAGAATAAATTGAAGAGTGAGTGAGTAAGAGAGTTCTAATTCAAAGTCATAAAGTGGAGAGTAATAACAGAGGCCCCTTTTTATTTTTTTCCAGTAAGTTTCTTAGAGATAAAATTCATGGCCTAATAGGAGCCTCATAGAACTAGGCAACTTTGACAACTACATTCATGACCTCCATTTCCTTATCAATTAAATAAATCTATAACTTTTCTTACAGTTTTGAAATCATGATTCTATTAAAATGTAGATCATCAAAGCAGATTTTTAAATCATATTTTATTAAAATAAGAATAAATTTTTATAAGTTAGATAAATTTTGGAAGGATTTCATAAGCTTTTAAAATTTAGTCTCTTGAGGTTTTTTCCCCCCTTTTATGTGCATTCTTTTGGTGGGCATAGAAGTCAAAGGACTTGGGAGATATGCCCTCCTTTAACATAGTACAGAGAATAATGCATTATWTTTTTTTCTCTAGAGGAAAATTGGACATACTAAGGCAAGTTTGGTTTGATTTAGTATGAAGAACTGTTTAACAGCCTAAACTACCCAAAGATGGGAAGCACAGACAGATTTAGTCTTTCCAGATTTCTTTTTCATCTTTTTGACAAGTTTTTTTTTAAAAGAAATTAAATTACCTAATGTATTTCTTATATTTTCAGGATAAAGAAGTACGAGCAGTTTTCCTTAGACTATTTGCACAACTTTTCCAAGGATATAGATCATGCCTACAACTTATAAGAATTCATGCGGAGCCTGTAATACATTTTCACAAAGTAAGATACAGTACCAAATTACMTCCTTCAAAAAGGATTTAAATGATTTAAATTTTTAAATCTAGTTCATTTTTTTCCAGCCATATTTTTTTACTTTATCAAATGTGACTAAAAAACCTCTGCTTTGAGTGCTTAGATGACAATTTTGTTGTTGTTGTTATTTTGTAGTTGTATATGCACAGCATGCCTTTATTGTATTTATTTTTATGTGGTGCTAAGGATTGAACCCAGTGCCTCACACATGCTACACAAGCACTCTGCCACTGAGCTATAGCCCCAGCCAATTTTTTTTTTTTTTAGTTGTTGATAGATCTTTATTTTATTTATTTATATGTGGTGCTGAGAATTGAACCCAGTGCCTCGCACATGCTAGGCAAGTACACTATCGCTAAGCCACAGCATCAGCCACTAGCCTGACAATTTTTAATAATACTAAGTTACTGACAATATTTTGCTTTAGAGCATGTTAACTTTAAATTTTTTTTAAAGTTGATTGTTAGTTTCTGATTTTTCCTCCTGTTATATAGACAGATTTATTTTTTTATTTCAGGTATTAGACAAAAACCCTTTTTGAAAGAAATATATTTTATAACAATGCATAGTTATTCATGAAGGCATTTGTACAGACTTTGATCATTACATTGTAATTTTATTTTGACCATTTTTCATTGCCAAGTAATAAATTATCATTTCTCATTTTCTTTCTTTACAGACMGCTTTCTTGGGGCAGCGTGGTTTGGTTGAGAATGATTTCCTCACAAAAGTACTTAATGGAATGGCATTTGCAGGTTTTGTTTCAGAAAGAGGCCCACCCTATAGATCCTGTGATCTCTTTGATGAGGTATAATTCTTATAAAATGACTACATAATTTATAGACAGAATTATATAGTAGTTAAAACTAGAGAAGCATTTTTAACCTTTGTTCAACATGTTATCAATTAAACATAATATAATCCAAATATTATTTATTATTATGCTTATAATCTTCATTTGTGGTTAGAAAAATGTAAATATAGGATGTTTCAGAAGTACATAAAAATTTTGAACAACTGAATTTTCAATAGTTGATTAAAATCTTTTTGAAAATTTGACAGGGATGGTATTAGTAGAACTCTTACTTGTAGGAAATAATACAGTGATTCCTCTATCAGTCTGCTAGAGAGAAAGGTCTAATGGATGCATAGATGCAAACTGTATTTACATTTAATCAGTACCACGGAGCCATAGTTTATCATTATGGCATTCTTATTAACCAACAATCAACATTTGTCTAGCTCCCTCTGAAGATATTAAATATGTGAAAAACATATTTCGTTTCTATTTTCAAGGAATTAGCCATATAAAAGRAGAAATAGAGCCAGTGTGACTCACAATAAAGATGCTGTTTTATAAACAATGAGTATTATTCCCACTTCAGTTTCTGGAAAGAGCACTATACTGGAACCAATAAATCTAAAAGTTCCTTGAAGTCTGTAAAAGAAAACAACCTGAACTCAAAACCATAGATAATATAGTAGTGGTCATATTTTGCTCCTGGTAGTTTTATGTAGAGAATATAGGAATCAAAGACTTAAAGATTCTTCTTCGTAGGAGAAGAGTCCTTTAGTCTTTGTAAAGATAGTTAAGGTAAGAATCAAAGAAATGAATGTTTCAGTTCTGAATATGAAGACCTGTACCAAATGCTTTCGTTAATAAAAAACATGCAAAGATTTAGGAGAGATTTTCCTGGTGTGGGTAATTCTTTCTTTCTTCCTTCTTTTCTTTTTTTTTTTTCTTTTTAGTTGTAAAAAGACATAATACCTTCATTTATTTATTTATTTATTTATTTATTTATTTTTATGAGATGCTGAAGATTGAACCCAGTGCCACACATGTGCTAGGCAAGTGTTCTACCACTGAGCTACAACTCTAGCCCCAATTCTTTATAATCAATTATTGGGTATTGCTTCTTTACTGCTAACATGTATTATGACTGACCATTGCTTATACAAACATTTATATCAGCCTTTAGATACTGAACTAGACAACTGACACATAATGTCTAATGAAGTTAAATTAAATGTCCTCCAAGGTCCTTTCTAGTTCTTAAATTTTGTTAGTCTCTGAAGCTTTATTAACGGTAACATTGGTGTATGTACTCTTTTTCTCTTCTGTCCAATTTTTCCTTACTTATTCCATTTGATTTATCACAACTAAAACGGCAGATTGATTATTCGCAGAAAACTTGCTTATCACTGCCTTTATTTTTGTAGGTCCTCCTCTGGCTTCTACTTTTTACTCAGCCATGACCTCCTGTTCTTCATTTTCAGCCCTTATCTCAACACCTCCTTCACAATTTCCAAAACTCATTGACTGTAGGAACTACTAAACTGCATTAGTGTTAGTCAGCTTTTTGTTTCTGTGTCTTACCCCTATACTCCTATCAAATAGGCATCCAAGATTTATGAAAAAGTTTGCCTTTGATTAACAGTCTTTCTGAATTCTGGCCTAGTATAGGTAAAGCTGTAGTTTTATATGTGTGTATGCACCTGTGAGTCTATTAGTTTCTAGAAGAAAGAATCTATATTGTTCCTTTTCTTTTTTTATCTTCCATCTGTTTTTTTCCATCAGCATTCTTTTCTCCACTCTAAGTATGTGTTACACTTACACAGTTTTCCCAGTAAATTTTGTTAATAGGGAAATGGACTATCATCATGTTCTTCTATTTTAATTTAGAGATGAGGAAATTGAAGCCTAGAAGTTTTAAATGATTTGTCTTAGATCAAACTGTCAGCAGAGGGAGGACTAGAGTCTGAATACCTTGACATAACCATTGGTTCTTTTATTGTGAGTTGGAAATATTTGGAGACTTTATGACTTTCTGAATTTCTCTGAGTAAGAGAATTCTCTTGCAAACAGCCTTTGGAATGATAGGATCTCTCAGTTTCAGAAATTACTTTTCTCAAGAAGAAATAGGGCCCTAAATCATTGAGGAGGGACCACCAGGCAATCCATGAATTCAGTAGACCTTTATAATCCAGCATAGTGGTGAAACCCAGTAAAAATCTGCAATATTTTGTTTTAAAAATAATATATGTTTTGGATGTTTTTTGTTTTGCAAATTGTATAAAATTAGCACATACATTTTTAATTCAGCATATTTTGGAGTTGATGTTCTACCATTTGATTCTTTTTCCAAGTTGGTAGCTTTTGAAGTAGAGAGAATTAAACTAGAAGAAAATAACCCATTGAAGATTATAAAGCATGTCAGAGAACTTGCTGAGCAACTGTTCAAAAATGTAAGTAAGTATATTTATTTAGATAGTGATTAATTTTAAAAGTATTAATAAAATATTTCCTTTGTAAAACTAAAAAGTTTAATATTTCTGGTGGTAATCTATTTGCTCTGGACTATAGATTACAATATATTATAGTTGATACTCTTCACCATATTTTTCCTGTCCATCACTATTATGAAACATCTTAGTAACAATTTTTCCATTTATCATTTGCCCTCATTGTGATTTTCATTTTGATCTCATTTTTAAGACATAAAGAAAAGATTAAATGTATTGGAGATCAGAAGTATGTCAAATGTCATTGACTGATGTGCTCTACTTCAGTGTAGTACAGAGATTGTCAGCTAAATGATGAACATTATTTGAGTTGCGTTGTTTTGAATAGATAATGGAGACTGAAAGAAGGAAAGCAAAATGACTGGTGACCACAGAAACCCAAAGGTGAAAATATTTCCTGGATAGAGGAAATGCAGTAAATCAAAAGATTAAGATGTGGTTAGGCATAAATTAACTGTGAAGTGACAGGGAACTTGCATGCTTGTGAAATAATGGATTTTGGCTAATAGTGATAGCAATTCCCTTGCTTGTGCAGCTTTGAGTCCTTTTGCTAAGAAAAGTAAAGTAAGTAGGTACTTCTTTGGTACTTCAAAGAGAAGTAGTGGGAAGATATATTCGTAAAGAAATATAGTTAAGAAGGACTTGGGGATCAATATCCCGGCGCTAGTAAGTGTTGTTTAATTCAGTTGTTTGGTCATTGAGTCATCTGTCACTACTTTTACATATTAATTTGAAATCTGAGAAGCAACTGGATAAAAGCAGGAATATTAAAATTTCATGCCATATTATTCAATTGTCTTCCTTTCCTTTCCCCTTTTCCTTTTCCTGTAATGAGAATTGAACCCAGGGGGCTGTGCACAWACTACAAACCCATTCTACTCCTAAACTATATCCCCAGTCCCATTCAATTCTTTCTAAATTTCAAGTTTTACATTCAAAATCTGACCTTTCTTTGAGGGAAAGAGTACTTTAAAAAACAGCTAATAAAAGCAAAGCTCAAAGGTTCTATATATGAACAAACAAAATCCTTTTATGAGTTTTCCTCATCTAAATCTTGCTTAATAGTTGACAATTTTAAGTCCTGTTTTATCAGTTGCTAGTGATTCACTATAAATTTGGCAATATATATGCTTTGCCTAGCATATAAAAGGAATGTTAATATCACTAATACATGCAGAAATCATTAGACATAGCATTCTTGTGCCTGTCAAAAGATTAATTTCCATTTTAAATTACTTAACACAACGATACTTTGACTATTTTTTGTAGATTATAAGTTGTTTTACTAAGAAGCAATATTTCATATTCCTAAATGTTACATCATAACATATTGGTTTAGCAAAAGCATAACTAAATGGTTTTCCTGACACTTTATATGCCAGAATCTGTTTCATGCATTTATTAACTGAACATATTTTTAGTTGTTTATAACTATGTCTAATATAATAAATGTATTTCTTCCTTAGAAACTGAAACTTAAAAAAATTAAAAGAATTCTTTTAAGAGGAAAACTTGTGTTCTGTGGTAGTCTTTGTTATTTATGATGGATGTGTAGAACTAATATGTAGCCAAATCTCAAGAGAAATTTCTGGTTTTCCATTATAATAATAAATATTGAGTGGTTAGTGTAGTGTACCAGGCATGGAATTAAGCACTTTAAATACATCATCTCTAATGCTTACAACACTATAAAGTAGGTGTCATTATCCCCATTTTACTTCAGTATTTGGTTCTAGGCTACTAAGGGTTGGAATCCAGATTTTAAATTCAAGAATTTTCATCTAATTCTTATCTTTAATCTGTCAGCTTGACTTACCTTAAATTTGAGAAAATAATGATCTTTCCAATACATGTCACAACGTGTTTTGACATACATTTCCTTTGACCTTAGAAATGACCCTCTGAGATAAATAGGGCTGGTATTGAATATATGAAAAAACTGAAAATTAGATAGTTTTTTTTTTCCTTGTCCCGGGTAAGAATGATTTATTGATGGATTTCAGAGAAGAACAAATGTCAAATGGGAATTAGTTCAGTYAAATCGTACTGATCCCTGATTAACTAGATTTTTATTTTTAGGTCTTTTACATCTATTCCAGAATTTCAATGAGTTATAGCCAGTTAGTGAATAGAGTTTGGGTTTTGGTGTAGGTTTGTCTCCATTACATGAGTGCTCAATGCATACAAAGGCATGTGCCAGCCTGCTTTATTGTAAAGACAGTTTTTTTTTTCTTTTCATTCTAGTACTGAAATTTTATGATACATATATTTACATTAAACCAGTACATAACTGAAAATTGTAATAAAATGAATATGCAGCCAGGCGAAGTGTTGCATACCTATAATCCCTGCAGCTTGGGAGGCTGAGACAGGAGGACCTTGTGTTCAAAGCCAGCCTGCAATGACGAGGCATTAAGCAACTCAGTGAGGCCTTGTCTCTAAATAAAATACAAAATAGGTTGGTGATGCGGCTCAATCCTTGGTACCAAAAAGGAAAAAAAAAAAAATCCCAGTAATTATACATTATTAAAGGCGAATAAAAATACTACACATTTCTTTAAAAATGACACTTCTAAAGAAATGATAATGAGTTATTTATTCTATTACTGTATAAAAGACTGTCTGGTTAGGTAAGAGCTCTTCAACTATGCTTTATATTTCATGAGTCCTAGGACTTTGTCCCCAGTATATTTCACTTAATGTAATTAGTTCCATTTATTCAATATATACTTAGTAAGAACCTACTAGTGCCAGGAATTCTCTAGGTGTATGATTTTCCTAATACCTTTCAGAAAAGAATACATATACATATGAGAGAGAGAGAGAGAGAGCGCGCGCACGTGAAGCAAGAGAGAGAGCACGCGCAAGAGAGAGAGTGCGCACACACACGCATACAAGGATCACAGTATCCCCTTCAAAGGCACACCTCTAATGACCTAACTCTTCCATCAAGCCCCACACCCTAAAGGTCCCACCAGCTCCCAATAACAGCACAGGCTAGTGACTGAGACTACATGGACCTTTGGGGAACATTCAAGATTCAAATTGTAGTAGTGATAAWGTTGCTTTTTTGGGTTGATGCCAGTTCAAGATATCCATATGGTTCTATTTCTAACTAGGCAAGTTTTTTTTAAATCACATTTCTAAAATTTCCTTTTGGCTATTTCCTATTATCAGGTTAAAATTGAGACCTGGTGATCCATTTAAATGTTTGTAAATACTTTATTGTACTGAAGTCTGGTATGTGTATCTAGCTTTTCTCCTTCACCTCCCTTTAAAGAACCTCAAAAAATCTTAATTTTCTAGTTTCTTCTTACCACTGAGGTTTTGCCAATGTGAGTATCCAAATTATAACTGGAGCAGCTGCTCTTCTATCTTTCAGGAGCTTCCTGAATTATTATTTTAAAAAAAAAAAAGAATTTGGGAACTTTGGTGCAGTGGAAAGGTGGAATAAAGGAGAAGGAAAGAACTAAATCCATTAGAGACAAGTTGTATAAGTAGTGTCAGAATTTATACAATGAAGATTTTTGGCAATACATTTATATATTTTTTTCTGTTCCTATTAATTACGCTGAGTACTGCCCACTTTGGCTTTCAGAATCTCCTATGTTTACATGAGCACATATTTAGCTACTTATCTGCCTCATACCTATGCTCCTTATATATACTTATAAAGGACTACTGACGGTATACAAAATGAGAGCATTAAAGTAGGCCAAGATAAGAATTGTATAAATTTTCCTTCCAGTACATTAAGCAATCAGTTGGACATATTTGTTTTGTTTTGTTTGTTTTGTAGTTGTAGATGGTCAATATGCCTTTATTTTATTTGTTTATTTTTATGTGGTGCTGAGGATCAAGCCCAGTGCCCCCACGCATGCTAGGCAAGCGCTCTGCCATAAAGCTACACCCCAGCCCCAGTTGGACATACTTTTAATCTAGTACGATCTTTCTAAATGGCTTTGCATCTGCARTATTACATACATATTTGCTAAAGTATGTAATTTGTCTGAAAGTTTTGTTAAATGTTAAAAGAAAATTGGAAGACATTTTCATATAAACATGATATTTCTAATTGAGGTTTATATATATTTCATTGCCTGGCATTGAACCAAATAGGTGTTAAAATCAAAAAGGCATCCTAATACCACCAAAAAAACCCAAAAATCATATTTGTACTTTTTTCCAACCATGAATAAAGGGATTTTTTTCATTAAAGGAAGGAAGTAAAATATTGTAATTACCTATAGTTTAGAAAGTCAAGACATAGACATAAACAACTTACTTGATTATGATAATGAAGTAAGTACCCTAAACCAAACTTTAGACCTATCCATCCCATCTAGTTTGTTCATTTGTGTCAAGTTTCTTGTGATTTAATTTATCCATAGTAAAATTAACTTTCTTCAGTACATTTTTATAGGTTTTCACAGATGCATGTTGTCATGCAACCACTAGTACCATAATGAGTACATAGAACATTTCTGTCACCCCAGAGAGTTAATATCCTTGCTGGCAACCATTTGTCTGTTCTGTCTCTGTAGTTTTGCCTTTTCCATAATATCATTATGAAGGGTGGTTTTTTTTATAGTTGGCTTTATTCATTTAATATAATTTATTTCACATTCATCCATGTTACTGCATATATTAATTGTTAATTACTTTCTATTCCTGAGTAGTATTTTATTATATGGATATAACAAAGTTTTATTTTATCAATAAAACTACCATAAACATGTAGGTTTTTGTGTGAATATAAGTTTTCATTTGTCTTTGATAAATATTTATGAGTGGGATGCTGGAATATATGGATATGACATTTAACTTTATAAGAAACTGTCAAACTCTTTTTTCAAGTATCTTTATTATTTTGCATTCTCACAGCAATATATGAGGATTCCAGTTTGCTCTACATCTTCACCAGCACTTGGTATTATCAGTTT